GGAAGGACGGATACTGAAGCTGAACCTCAAATATTTTGGCCACCAAATGAGAAGAGAGGACTCATTGGAAAAAACCCTTATGCTGGGAAAGATGGAAGGCAAAAGGAGAAGGGGACAGCAGAGGATGAGATAGTTAGATTGTGACATCAATGCAATGAACAAGATTTTGAGCAAACTCCAGGAGAGAGTGGCAGACCGAGGGAGGGGGAAGGAGGGGGGCTGGCATGCTGTGGTCCATGGGGTTGTGAGGAATTGGACATGACCTAGTGACTAAACAACAAAAAAGCTTCTATTCCCCTCTCACTCATACTAATCAGCAAGGAATCCTTAAAATCAACTCCTCCCCCCACCCGTTGGAGATATCAAGGCTGAACCTGACTTTTCGCACCCAAAGTCCTTGGGCTCTTTCTGAGCCACCAGTGTTCCCATGTGCCTCCTTTCCTTGAGATGTTTTCTCAATGTGAGAGTTCAACAGCCAACCTCCAAAAGATGAGAAAAGCACATAGCCATTTGCTAACAAACTTGATTGCGCAAAAAATATAAAGAACAGCATCAGCAGAAGCTCACAATCTTTCAGACAGCAAACAGACTATATGTACATAAAAAGCCAAGTTTGGGATCAGAGAAAGGCAGCACGGATAAGAGAGTAATAGGCTCCATTTGGAAATTACGGCTGAAGCTTCATAGAGCAGAGCTTTTCAACCTTTTCACCCGTTGTACCACTTTTAGGATAGGGCAACATCCCAGTACCACCAGCAAGGTGTGAAAAACTTGATGACCAAAAAAAAAGTGATAAAGTACTGGTAGTCCTCGACTTACAACAGTTCGCTTAGTGACTGTTTGAAGTTACAATGGCACTGAAAAAAGTGCCCCCCAAGCTACAGCTGAGCAAGACACCTGCCTGCCCACCCAGAGGCGCTCTTCCTCCTGTCCGAGGTTTTCATTGTTGTGAGCATTTCTGTTGAGGATTGGCAGCAGGGGTGGGGTGGGGGGGTTTGGTTTTTATTCCCCGTCTATTGGGTGGTTGCAGCAGGTTTTGATTACTTTACATGACCCTGGGACACTGTGACCATCATAAATATGAATCAGTTGCCAAGCATCTGAATGTAAATCACAAGACCCTGGAGATATTGCAACATTTCAGCTGATTGGTGCTTCTTCAGGGCTCAGCAGAAGCACTAGGATCAGCGCTGAGCTCCAGCTGGAGCCTGGCACTGATCCTGGTGCTTCCGCTGAGCCCTGACAGCCCTGCTGCTCCAGCCATCTTCACTCAGGCTTGTGCGGTGCTGCCACTGGTTCAGCTCATTCCCCTCCCCCACTACCACTTTTCTAGGATAGTGGCGTACCACCTGCCATTGCCAATGTACCACAGGTGTCCCACTGGTTGAAAAGCCCTGTCATAGAGGATACCAGATGGAAAAACCACACAGCATTCTTTTTCTACGCCACAAAAGGAAGATCAAGTTAGCATTCTTCTCTGCAGAGTGGATGAATAATATAGATTTGTATCAAGATGGTGACATATTGCTGAGCCAAGATGGGAGGAGACTGAACCTAGATATGGCAGTATGCCTTCAATACACCTGTGTCTGTAGGGCTACTGAGATGTACAGGATCTTGTAAATTTCTTGATATAGCATGGTTCTTTGAAAAAAAACAGCTGTCATATTACTGTGTTTGAATTATATATTTGGGTCCAGGTTTAACTCCAGGAAGTTTCAGTGTTGGGAAGCAATCTTAGGACATCAACAAAATATATTTATTTAGTCCTACCTCCAAAGTGCTGGAGGCAGTTTATATGCAATAATTAACACCGTTTAGGAAATTATCCTGAGCGAAGGCTGGGTTCCCTTAATCCTAAACTCATCATCTAACCTAGTCTTTCTTGGCCTGATGTTCTTCAGATCTCTTTAGAGTACATCTCTCAAAAGTTAAAATGGGCTTGGCCCAATCCTGGAAATTTGGAGTTTTAGTCTCTTAGAAGGCATCAAGTTGTAATGGCTGTTTCTTCCCAACTTTCAGGATAGGAAAAAGAAGACTTTTTCTTGAGTTAGCCAAAGATCTACCTCATCCAAGTTCAGCTGTTAGGATACCTATATCTTATGACAGTGGTGGCAAACCTATGGCACGGGTGCCAGAGGTGGCACTCAGAGCCCTCTCTGTGGGCACATGAGACGTCGCCCCAGTCCTAGGCCTTCAGCTGGGTTTTATAAAACCTATTCGCTTTAGGCCTCCACCGCTGTGTGCAAAAAAAAAAAAAAAAAAGGGTTCAATCAGTCAATTTCAACTTCTCGTGGGAAAAAAAAAGATCTTGCAAACTTGGAATTGATTGAACTTTTTAGTCCCACCCAGTCTTCTGTCACCACTGCAGCCACGCCCACCCAATGGGCCACACCCACCCAATGGGCCACACCCACCCGGCACTCAATGATGCATAAGTGGGTTTTGGGTTGCAGTTTGGGCACTTGGTCTCTAAAAGGTTCGCCATCACTGTCTTATGAAATCATTTGCGAACTGTTCAGTGCGGTGCTTTTTTTGTAAAAAAAAAAAAAAAAAAAGGTGCCAGAACTCACACATGCCATACAACCCGCCTTGCCTACCCTACAAGGTTCCATCCAAAAAAGGTGCTGGAACTCTGTTCTGGGCATTCTGTGACAAAAAAAAGCCCTGGTTCAGTGGGTCTGGTATCCAAAGTTAGTCAGGTTACAAGGCTGCAATCTAAGAGGATGGATGAACCAGGATGAAAACAGAGATCACTTCTCCACAAGTCCTTTGGGATAGTTCAAACTCATTGTCAAAATGTTAAGTGAGTCCAGGAACTGAGATGGTCCATTGTTGTAGCTTTACTATGACATATACAAAATCTCTGCTCTTTAGAAGGCCAGATCCTGAAGTTGAAACTCAAATACTTTGGCCACATAATGAGAAGGAAGGACTCACTGGAGAAGGGCCTAATGCTGGGAAAGATTGAGGGCAATAGAAGAAGGGGACGACAGAGAATGAGATGGCTGGATGGAGTCACTGAAGCAGTAGGTGTGAACTTAAATGGACTCCAGAAGATGGTAGAGGACAGGAAGACCTGGAGGAACATTGTCCATGGGGTCGCGATGGGTCGGACACAACTTCGCAGTTAACAACAACAACAACAACATACAAAATCTTAGCAACTGAACCTTTTTTTCCTCAAAGAATTATAGTTTGGTTAGTTCCTACACAGTCCCATCCCCCCCCCATAAATAGGAGTTACCCATTCACCCTCTAACGTTATTCTTTTATCCCACCAGAGGGTGGAAGTACAAGTAGTCCTCAATTTATAACTGGATTTGAAGTTCCAACAGTTCCCCCCCCCAATCAAATGACCCCATTTTGGGGACTTGGGGGGCTTGGCAGCCATTTTGCAGCCATTTGCAGTGCTTGCAGTCACGAAGTTACAGGGAAAAAAAATGCCCCATAGTGAAGAACGAGTTTGCTTAATGACTGCAGTGGTTCACTTAACCAACACAACACAACAGTAGTAGGGTCATATGGTGACCCTACTACTGTGAACCATTGTCACAAGTTATGGCTGAAATTGTGGGCTCAGTTATAGGTATTCTCAACTTACAACCACAACTGAGCCCAACATTTCCATTGCTAAGCAAGACAGTGGTTAAGTGACTTTTGCCCCATTTTATGACCTTTCTTGCCACATTGTTAAGTGAATCTGGCTTCCCATTGCTAGTCAGAAGGTCACAAAAGGTGGTTACATGACCCCGGGACACTGCAACTGTCATAAATATGAGCCAGTTGCCAAATGTCCGAATTTTGATCTTGAGATCCCAAGGATGTTGCAATGGTCATAAGTGTGAAAAAGGGTCATAAGTCATTTTTTTTCAGTGCCGTTGTAACTTTGGTGACTAAACAAATAGTTGTAAGTCTGTATTCCATTCTGTGCTTTTAAGACATTGGGAATAAGAAACAGCAATGGAAACAATTGGGGAACTCCATGGCCTTTCACATGGGACTTTCAAAAGCCGTAACATGGTGCCACCTTAAATTGGGGCTTGGCTGCCACTTAAGTATATACCAGTACAAAGAGTGCTTGTGCCTTCAAGTCAGCGCTGATTTCCGGCCAGGTGCTCAGGCAAGATCCTGAAGATTTCAGCAATGATTTTTGCCTTGGCCGAGAAAGAGGGACTGGCCCCAAGTCACCCTTTCCTCTGTCATATATATCTCAATGAAGAAGAAGCAGCTGGCCTAGCTCTGGAAACTTGACGGGATAAACTTAGTTAGCTCTTGGATGGGAGACCACCAGTAAATTTCACAGCTGTAGGCTATTGGGGGGAGTCAAAAAGACATGCTGGAACTCCTTCCCTGTTGAGAACAAAGCAGCATGGTCTGTGTAGTCCCTAAGAGTGGAGCTAGAGCAAACCTTTACACCCATAAATAAATAACACACTCACACACCCACAACGCTAGTCTATAGCTGCCATGGAGCGCAGAGTATATTTCTTTCCAAATTAAGCACAGAAGGAAAATACAGATTTCCCAGAAATTTTAGTTGCCTTGCCGGTACTCTTCCCTTCCTCAGAAGAGTTCAATAGCGCCCCATATTCTCCCTTGACTCCCGGACTTGCTTCTCGTCTCCTTTCCCACAACCAGGAGCCGCGCGCCGCCTTCCCCGGCGAATCCCCGCAAAGGAGGCGAGCTTCGGAGGCAAAGCTGTTGCTGGACTTTGCTTGGAGAGTTTCCCCCTCCCCCCATTCCATTCAGCCCGGAAAAATTTTGCCTTCTTTCTGAGCCCAGCCTACCTTACCGGGTTGTTGTGGCTTGGGTGGAGGAGAAGAAAAGCGCGTCAGAATAGAAAGCAATCAGCGGGGAAACGCACCATCCATAGCTTGAGACTAGCCGGGAGACGCTGCCTTGCAAAGGGGGAAGACGCGGACGCGAGTGGATCACGATCCACCTGCTTTCTACCCCATCCGAGCTCGGCCTGGCGTCCTGCCGCTTCTGGCTCTTACCTGGGCGGTCTGTTTGCCGACGGTACTCCCCGCGACCTCGGCCGCTCCTTCTCCTACTTCTTCTCCCGGCCGCGGAGTTCCTGCCGGATCTTTCCAATCACTTCGGAGCTGGGTAGCTCCACCCCGGCGCCCGCCCTCCGCGCTCGGCTGAACATCTTCACCCGAGCTCCGCAGCGGCTGGCGTTTCTTGAACCGCTGAGCGGGAGGAACTGGCCAAGCGCTTAATTCACACGTGCAACGAGATACGCGTGTTCGGAGATTCGGACTCTGGAACAGGGATCGCGAGCGGCTCGTTGTGAATTTGTAAAAGAAACATAGTTGCCCGCTTCATTCCTCCCTTCCCTCTATCTTCCAATTCAACAGGGAGGGTCATTTAAAGGTCTTGCATGTGTGCCCCTGGTGCTGAAATAAGTCAGTTTTCTGAGTTTCCGTGATACATCGGTTGGATTAACACAATATGTAGGGTCTCCTGCTTGGGCGGGAGAGGGTGGGGTTGAACTAGATAACCTACAAGATCCCTTCTAATCTATTATTCTATTAATATACTAAATCCAGTTTAGCAAAATGCAGTTGCACAATATACTATGAAAAGGGTTCTTTTCCCACAGTAACCCAACCCCATCTTAGTGGGGTGGAGCAAATTGTGAAGCTCCAGCAGGTGAGCCATAAACTCACCACATGGCTTGGCTTTGCAGGGTATTCTAGCTTAAAATGCTAGTGGCTTGCTTGAACTTCAGCATGTGTTATAATACAGCCCTCCCTTCCTTGTCCTCTCTGTTATCTATCCTTCCCTCCCTCCCTCCCTCCCATCATCCAAGTGTTAAACCTTCATGTTATAGGAATAGAATAGAATAGAATAGAATAGAATAGAATAGAATAGAATAGAATAGAATAGAATAGAATAGAATAGAATAGAATAGAATAGAATAGAATAGAATAGAATAGAGAGGGGATGGAATGGGATGGGATGGGAGGGGAGGGGATGGGATAGAATAGAATAGAATAGAATAGAATAGAATAGAATAGAATAGAATAGAATAGAATAGAATAGAATAGAGCTGGAGGTCTTCTAGTCCAGCCCCCTCCTCAAGCAGGGGTATGTGTATTATTCTCAAAAGTGTGAAATGCACATTAGAAACTCTACACCCTGGGAGGTCAGAATCCAGCTCTTCCTTTTCAGCATTGCTCTGATTTCCAGGGGAAGGGATGGAGAAGAAGAAAGAACAGAAGTCCTCGACTTATGACTGTAATGGATATAATGACTTAGGACATTATGGTCATAAATTGTGACATTTGCAAAGTGGACTAGCAACACGATCCATCTCTTTTTACAACCTTTTTTGCTGTGGTTGTTAAGCAAACCAATTGTTCACTATGGGCTGATTTTGCCAAAAATCAGAAGTAAATGCTGATTTCTATGAAAAAGTCATAAAACATAGTTGTGGGACTGTGGGTCACTGCAAATGACCGTAAATGTGGGCCAGCTGCCAAGTGCCCAAAATGCAGTTACATGACCTGGTGACAGCCATCAGAACTTTGGAAACAAGTCATAAATATTCCTGGGGCAATCTGTCATAACTTCAAACGGTCACTAAGTGACAGGTCATAAGTCAAGGAACAGGAACAAACCAGATTTGTTTATTGATTTCTCCTAAGAAGGAGCCACACTGCCCCATCAGTGCAGATAAAATCAGAAAAATGCCTTCAGAAGGGAAACATTAGCACAAAAAGTTGCTTTATTCCAGTCGTCTTTCTAAATAAAAGTGCAATGCATTATTTATTTATGTATAGTCCAATCAACTTTGGGAAGCTCACAGCATAAAAATAAAACAGCAAATAAAACAAAATATTAAATCCTGTTAACAACAAATATATTATAATGCACCCAACCAGGGATTACCCAACCAGTCTTATCCAAAGCCTTGGAGAAGAGTCCATTTTTAAGCTTTTCAGAATGGGATCAGCCCAGTTTTTGTGAATAATGACATTTCACAGGGCTGGTGCCACCACAGAGAAGGCACCCTTCCAGAGTCCTGATAGATGGCATGACTTAATTGACGGAAGCTGGAGCTAGAGCAGAGCCAAAACTAGTAAAAACAAATTGCACTCCTGCAAATTAAGTTTTAATCAGCTTTTTAATGGATTTCATTTTAGTTGTTTATCTGGAACTATGGTGTTCTGTTTTTAAGTGTGTGAGCCCCCCAGAGTCATGTATCTGAAATGGGCAGCACTATAAACAGAATGGATGAATGCATAATATTAAATTTATTGCTTTGCAAAAGGCATGCTTTTATATGGGAAGTATTCAGTGATGGGATTCAAATATGTGAACAACCGGTTCTCTGTGTGGATGCCACTTCCGGAAATCCATTCTGGGCCTGGGCAACAAAAAATTAGCTACTGGTTCTGCTGAACTGGTGCAAACTGGCTGAATCCCACCACTGGAAGTATTTTTGTCTGTGGCATCCTGTATCTGAACCATCTAAAAATTGTAAGTAATCCTCAGATTGCTTTGAGTAATAGCAATTATCGGAGGAGCAGAATTTTAACCCTTGCTACTAATTACAGTAGTTTCATTAGGCCCTGAAGCCTTCCAACCAATGGAATTTGTGCAAGTAAATTTGTTCAAAAAGAAAAACAGTTGATTGGTTCAGCCACTGTCATATTCACAGTCCATTCCATTTCCAAGTGCACTTACTACTGGCAGGTGTTTTCATGCTTGTCATATCTCTTTTAAAAATCTTTAAAATAAACTATGTAAATTCCTTTGTTGAAAACTGTACTTAATACGTTTGTGGAATGCTCCTTCCAGGCATTAATCGAACAAACTGTTTTGTTATGTTCTAAAATACCTTTATTATTTTAAGCAGAAAGAGCTTTGATTCCAAAAATGCAAATAATTGGCACATGAAACTTAATAAAAAATAAATAAATCAATGTTCTTTAAAAAGCCATTTCTGTTTGGGCCACTCCTTATGTGTCTTGGGGAAGTAAAAACAGATTTAAATCTCCTTCTTTGATTTGTAAATACAGGAAAGGCAGGGCTTGGTGTCAAAGTCTATTGCCACTGGTATATGAGCCTGGAAGGCTGCAGATTGAAGAAAAGAGATCCCTCACTCCACTTGCCATTGCAATTTTGTTCCAAGAACAAGTTTATATGTGCAAAAGCTCATCTTAGTTCCCAGAAAATACACACAGGTAGTTCTCAACTTGCATCCATACAGGTAATGTTTGACTCATGACCATGTTTGAGAGCAAAATTTCTGTTGCTAAACAGGACAGTTGTTAAGTGAGTTTGTTCCATTTTACAACCTTTCTTGCCATAGTTGTTAAGCGAATCACTGCAGTTGTTAAGTTAGTAACCCGGTTGTTAAGTGAATCTGGCTTCCCCCATTGACTTTGCCTGTCAGAAGGTGGCAAAAGGAGATCACATGACCCCGGGGCACTGCAACTGTCATAAATATGAGTCAGCTGCCAAGTGTATGGCTTTTGATCACATGACCAGAGGGGTGCTACAATGATCATTTATGTGCCATTGTAATTTCAAATGGTCACTAAATGAATGGTTGTTAAGTTGGGAACTGCCTGTAACTGGGACCTGAGTTTATGTTGCTAAGCAAGACAGTTGTTCGTGTGTGGCACCCAATTTGACAACTGTTTTGCCATGGATATTATGCAATTCACTGCATTTGTTAAGTGAATCATGTAGTCATTAAGTGAATCCAGCTTCCCCTGTTGGCTTTGCTTGGCACAAGTCAGCTGGGAGGGTTGCCAATCGCATGACCCCAGGATGCTGCATCCATTGTAAATGCATGCCGAATTTTAATCACATAACTGTGAGAATGCTGTAATGGTTTTTAAGGAAGTACATAGATCACTTTTTTCAAGACCATTGAACTTTAAACTGTCACTAAAGAAATAGTTGCAAGTCAAGGACTATCTGTTAGAGAGATCGGTTTATTCTACCTCAAGCACATTCCAAGAATGAGGTGTAGGCTAACAGTAGAAGCTGTTACTTCTAATGGTTATACCCTCTCATTGGGTGTAACATCTAGAACAGTGTGTCTCCACCTTGGTGACCTTAAGATGTGTGGACTTCAGCTCCTAGGATGGCTGCCTGAGGAATCCTAAGAGTTGAAATCCACACATCTGTAGCTGGCTGACAAACCGTACTCAATGAGTAGTCCTCAATGGCACTACATCCACATGGAGAGAAGTAAGCAGTGGGGTACCACAAGGTTCCATCTTAGACCCAGTACTCTTCAATATCTTCATAAATGACTTAGATGAGAGAACTGAAGGGGAACTCATCAAATTTGCAGATGACACCAAAGTGGCAGGAGTAGCCAACACCCCAGAAGACAAACTCAGGATCCAAAAAGATCTAGACAAACTTGAACAATGGGCTCTATCCAACAAAGTGACTTTCAGTGTGGAGAAAAGCAAAGTTTTACATTTAGGAAGGAAAAATCAAAGGTACAAGTACAGATTGGGCGAGACCTGGCTTAAAAACAGTAACTGTGAGAGGGACCTTGGAGCCCTAGTGGCTATGAGCCAGCAGTATGTAGCAGCAACCAAAAAAGCTAATACAATCCTGGGTTGTATAAACAGAAGCATAGAATGAAGATTACATGAAGTATTAGTACCACTTTATAAAGCCCTAATAAAATCACACCTGGAATACTGCAACCAACTTTGGTCACCATATCACAAAAAAGATGTTGAGAGTTTGGAAAAAATTCAGAGAAGAGCAACAAAGATGATCAAAGGCCTGAAGACTAAAACAGACGAAGAACGGCTATGGGACTTGGGTTTCGCTAGAAGAAGAAATAGGGGAGACATGATAGCAGTATTCCAGTATCTGAGGGGCTACTACAAGGAAGTGGGGTTCACATTGTTCACCAAAGCACCAGAGGGAAGGACGAGAAACAATGGTTGAAAACTGATCAAAGAGAGAAGCAACCTAGAGAATCAAGGAGAAACTTCCTGACAGAACAATCAACCAGTGGAATAGCTTGCCTCCAGAAATCGTGGGTGCTCCATCACTGGAGATTTTTAAGAAGAGACTAGAGTCTAGACAATCACCTTTCTGAGATGGTATAGGTTTTCCTGCTTGAGCAGGGGGCTGGACTAGAAGACCTTCAAGGTCCCTTCCAGTTCTATTCTATTCTATTCTATTCTATTCTATTCTATTCTATTCTATTCCCAGCTCTAGAGCCAAAAGAACACAGTAGATGGGCAGGAACACAAAAATTAAAAAGATTGCATAGCTTCTGATGGCATGACTGGCAAAGCTCAGAAGTTGACTTG